GAAGTATGACAGTGATCTCAACTCAAACTCTAACGCCTGTGAACGCCTAATCTTGCCACAGTTTTCCTCCGGACTGTGACTCACACCAGCTGCCGTGGTGCTGCAGTCTCTGGTGGCTATAGTCCTTTGAGGTTCCAATCGTGAGACCACAATCTCGAGCAGTCCATTTATTTACTCATTTGAGAGGATAAACCCCTTGAGATGCATCATCTCGTTTTCAAGAGATGATGCATCTCATCCATTCATCCATCCATCCGTTCATTTTCTTCCCCTTAATCCATTTCTGGGTCGGGGGGGGTGGCAGTCAGAGCTGCACCCAATTCACATAGTACCAGCCCATCTCGAGCTGTAATGACCCTAATTCCTTGTGCTGGTTTTATGCTATCTCTGCGATTTGAATTGGCCAACTGGTTAAATATCTATCTATAAAAGGAAGGTCTATCCAACGCTTTTCAGTTTAAAAGACTGTCTATCTGTATCTCTGGATCGCACTAAACTACAGAGGTCAAACCTCACAGACTAATGAAACGAAGTAAAGAGAGGAATGCTACAACTTCAGCTCCGACAGCCTCATTCGCTCTGGGAAGCTAACAGGAAGCATTTGCTAAATATGCAGAAACGAATAGAGAGGGACTTTATCAGCTGCTGCTGCTGGACTAAATAGAGACATTGTTTTGTTTATGTGTGTGCGTGTGTGTGTTTGTGCGTGTGCATGTGTGTGCGTGTGTGTGTAGGCCTGTCACGATAACAAATTTCGCTGGACAAAAAGCGATAATGTCGTTCTGAGATCATTTTCATCTAGTACATTGAAAATGATGCAGACCTTTTCAAACTATAAATAAAATAGACTCCCAGTATCTTTTAACATTGAACTGAAATAAAACTGCCATGACCTTTGTAAACAAAGTTATGAAACAGATGCCTCAATTGGCCATATGCAAAAATCGTTTTAGAAATAATTTACGCATGTAGTCCCGCCTCCCCACACACCATGCGACTGACATGAGGGTTCACTCATTGTTAATGGGGCGTTCAGACCGCTGACGCTGGAACGGAGCTTCAGCGCGCTCTTCAGACGCTCGGGGTGTTCAGACTTTTACAGACTATGGTTCAGACCAGAACTCCTGGCCTGCGGTGGCGCCCACTGGAAGTGGCGGAAGTACCGGGCGGACTTTGATGCTAACGGAGTTGAGCTAGCGGCTTTTTGTGTAAAGTTCTTCTCCAATAATGCAGCTCTGCAGCGTCTCTGTGTTCAGAGACCTTCCAGAGACTTTATATAACAGCAGTATGTGTTCACGAAGATGCGCCATACGTTTATTTTATTATTAAACGTACTTCCGCATCGGCGAACACGTTGGCTCTCTAACCCAAGAGAGAGAGGGAGAGAGAGAGACGACGAAAACAAACAAGCATGCAAATGGCATTTATCACGGCCAGAAAAATTATCAAGCTAATTTTAATTATCATGCGATTAATTGATTTATAGAATATCGCGACTGGCCTATGTGTGTGTGTACATGAAATGGATGAATATCTCATTTTGAATATTAACATTTGTATGCCCCAACATATTTTAAGGCAGAAATATATTCCCCTTAATACGTTATTATTGGTCAATAAATAATCTATAGATTTGCAACTGCAGCTGAAATACCTGTTAGCTGCAGCCCCAACTAAATCTGTACATCCTTCTGTAATGATATATTTTTTTTCTTGGCTAATAGGAAGGGAATTAAGAAAATTAAAGCTGCAATAGGTGTCACGGCCGTCACCGCACTGACGTGCCATTTTTCTACAGCCCTGACGGGAGCGAAACTGTGTATTTTAAATACTGTACCTATGTTCAGTGAATTTTGCCACTCCGCTGCTCGAACAATGTTTAACTGATCAAAATTGTACAATCAACTATTGATGGTACATGTGTTTAGATGATGTGGAGCCGGATTTTTCAGTGTTTTTGGAGCACCACCGGCCTCGCCCAGGCATTACTCGCTGAGAAAGCGATAAATATATGTGTTTTGTTGTGTTATCATGAATGCATTGACTTCAGTAGCTCAGAGTGTGAGAGCCAGTCCAAAAGAAGCCATTTGCCAAATCTGGAGGGGAATTAGTGGCTTGGATTGGTGAATAATGAGCAGAATTGCTTTCTCTCTACTCTGTTGTTGTCAAACTGGACTCGAGTCAGGATTAACAACTTTCCAGGATTAGAGGCTGATTCAGTCTTAGACACTTTATTTTTCTGCGTCCAAACTAACATTTTAAGAATTGCACTGTTATTGTTGACGTCTTTGAATCTCCAAACACGGCCTGCTTTAGTCAGTGGTGCGCCAAACATTAGACATTCAAAACAGTCCCCAGTTATTAGAACATATAATTTAGAAGATTAAAAAAAAACATCCTTTCATTTTCTTATTAGAGATTTGTGATTGTCCATAGCTGTTTGTTGGGCTTTAGCATTGTCAAATATTATAAACATTATCTATCTATAATTTGTATCAATTCTGCTCAATAACCTATGTTGCGCAACAGTTAAGCATGAGGGCTGATAACTCTCTGTCTGCTGCGTCATTTTGGATCTGTAAACAAATTACAAGTTTCTGTAGAATAATACATCATCGTCATCATCTTGCCTTCCCATTTCTATGATTGGTCCCAAAATGTGTGCGAACATTTTAGGCAGTGATTCCATTTATTGATGATGTTGATGAAATGATTCAAGCGCACATAGAAGCATGGGTATTCCTCGGCTAAGCTCCCGCGCTACTCTTTTAAAACACATGACGTGGATATCGATTGTGAATACAGAGGGGCTCTCCCAATATGTTACTCTTGCTTCAGTTCTGCCAGAAACAAAGCGTCCCCTCTGTTTATGTTTTTGTTTATGCTTTTTTTGTGTTTTGTTAACTATTAAAGAGACTGAAATATACTAACTATCAATCAATCAAATCTAACTAACAGGCCCTATTTTTGCTCCTATTATATAGATTTAGCTCATGAGGGGACATCCTATTTTTATGTGAAATATTTATTGTGGTGAAGTGTATGAGTATAGAAAAAAATATGTGAGAAAGATGGACAGAGGATTGGAGAGGTTTAGTCTTATCCTGTTGATTTTTAGTCGTAAGTAATGACATTTCTAACATAAGTATAAATATTTGTGAGATAATCTCAAAATCTGGCATCCTTTGTGGCACGATTTTGTTATGACAAGAATGTAGTTGTGGTTTGATATAATAGGCATAAACCAAACCGATATAAACGAGAGGACATATAATGGCACTAAACAGTTACAAGATACATACAGAGACAGGGAGGCATTAAGAGAGTATCAGCTACTGTACATATCTTTGATAATCGTGGGTCAGGCAGAGAGAGCGCTAACTTCCCACTGTAATATATCAAAATTATATAGTGGCTATGATGTCATAGAATATAAGTTAGGTGACTGTGTGACAAAGGATGATGGGAGATACAGTGGAACATGAGCCTTCATACATACATACCAAGTTTGTTTCTCAGACTCAGCAAATGAGGACAGAAACTCCCTGTGCTTTACTTGAACAATGCATTCACACCAAATATACTAAAAATGCTGATCACAACAACACTATAACTGCTGGAGTGTTGCCTGCATTTATGTTAAATTATAATCCAATTAACAAGTACAATACACCAGACGATCACACCACAACAAGAAGCTCATGGAAGCGCCGTGTCCAGAAGTGCCTTATAGGAGGAAAAATGCAAATGGTGTAAAGCAAGTGTGGCGGCTAATGTGTTATATACAGCCCTAAATGTTGAAGAAATGATTCTGAATAATAGTATCTTCATAACAATAAATGCTTATTTCCTTACGTACAGTTTTGCCTAATGGGTGTTTCTATATAAGCATTTTGCAGGCTTAAGGTTTAGTGAACATGAAATAGAATGTGTACACAAATTTGGCATAAATATATTTGAATGATCAACTGGAATATCAATTCCTGTTTTTTCATCAGTTTGGAAATCAGTAGAATGTTGAATACATATTAAACTATTCATAAATATTACATTTTGTTTGTACCATGCAGCAGAAAAAATCTAGCAAGCAAGAGCCATGCGTGTCAGTCCCTCTGAATGTGAAAACAAGTGAGAGAACCAAAATGAGAATAAGAAACTTGTTGGATGGATATGAATACACATTTTTTGTAGTCGGCAAGCTACTCCAGCTTTAAAGTGATTTTAATGAGGTATACTTACTTGTTTGTTAGAACAAAAATGTTGTTCTAACAAACTGCAAATTTGTTGTTCTAACAAATTGCAAATTTTAAGAATTGTATTAAATTGACCACCTGGCCTTTAATGTTGATATAAAACAAGTCATTTTATGAATAATAATATTTTGGGTAAATCCCGCCTTCCCTTATCTTAGCTATAGCTCAAAATCCACAATGCCGTCCACTTTAACCAATCAAGAGATGCCAAGGGCTGTCAATCATCGCCCTCGCGCTCTTAATTAATTCAAATATTATATATATATATATATTCAAACAAATATTAGACATCCCTAAATATTCGAAGCTGTAATGGGCATTATCTTTTTTAAATTATATATATAAAAGAGTTAGTTCCCAAAGGTTTCCCCGTGACGTGACTAGACGGGTAACAGCTAGGCTAGCTAACTAACTAGAACTCTCTGGAACTACATGAAAAGTGAACAAAGAATTCTGAACATCAGCGGTGAGTGACCCAAATATAACATTAACCTAAATCCATAATCTGATCCTATAATGTAAGAATTATATTCTTCTATCTGCTCCTTTCTGATCGTGGGAATGTTTGAATGATTTGAAACTTAACTATAACTATGCATTTTCCTGAAATGAATAAAAAAAGAACCTAACCTAACCTCCATCCATCCATCCATTATCTTCCCCTTAATCCATTTCTGGGTTGGGGGGGTGGCAGTCAGAGCTGCACCCAGTACACACAGCACCAGCCCCTCACTGATCCTCCTGCAGATGGTGAGTCCACAGGAGCTGAGATTGTTCAGTGGGGGCTTCGACAATATGTGTTTAGTTGTGTTAATCTCTGAGCCTAACCTAACCTATCCTCTGCAAATGTGTCTTGAAATGTTCTAATGTTAATTGAGCGTGGCTAGCTTCAATAGCATCTCTCGCTCAGACAGAAGTAATAAGTGACTGGAGCTGAAAGCCCGTTGTGCCAAAGTGTGCAAACTACAGTCCACAGTAATGTTTTATTTTTCACACCTGAAGTGCAAACACAGAGTGTGTCATTAGTGGTTTGAGAGGTCCGTTATCAAGAAATAATGATCGGTAAAACGTTTTGAAATTACATTCAAATCAATGGAGCGTTCTCTCTTTTTTCTGACAAACTCCAGACTATCACTTTAATGTGAGAATATTTTATTTTCTTAGTTATCATTATGTTATTCAAAGGTCAAAGCTGAGTTCTCAATAATGATCATATTTCCATTACTAAGTGCATTTTTCCTGACTGCCCTTCTCTCCCGACAGGCATACTTCCGACAGGGTGTTGCCCTTCAGTACCTTGGTCGCCATGCCGATGCCCTGGCTGCGTTCGCCTCGGGACTTGCCCAGGACCCCAAGAGCCTGCAGTTGCTGGTGGGCATGGTGGAGGCCGCCATGAAGTCACCGCTACGAGGTAAAGCATTAGAGAGATGGACGTGTGAGCGTGTGTTGCCGTCTGGGCTGTCACTATGTGCCTGTCGTCTCAGTGTCCATATGTTTTGTCTACAGCTGACTATGAAAGCCGGTCTCCAAGGTAATCTACACGCTGCCAGTCAATATGCAGGAGGGGTGACTTTAGCTGTCACTTGCTCATTCTTTGGGTCTGTCCTTCTTTTGGTGACACTGACTCCCGGTGTCATGTGTTTCATTTTACACTCAGGCCGTGTGCCCAAAGCGTCTCTATATCTCACTGTCAGGGCAGCTGATCGCACTCACCGATACGCCTTATCTAAATGAGCATCCAACACTAATGCCATGGTCTGCCCCTGAGCACCGCTTTGTTTCCAAAACTGTGTGTAATTGGAAATAAATGACAAACTCAATCCTAGAGAATAGAATGTCAAGAAATGTGTCCTTTTTCCATAGATTCTTGACAAAAAAATTATAAAAAAAATCTCTATGGTTATAAATTAAAAGTTAAATAAACATAACAATCTGAACAATTTTAGGTTAGTTTTTCACTCCTTTTTTTGTTTTTAGTTTTATTGCTTTTGAACCTTCAGTTTTCTATTTTCAATTTGGGATTTTTGGTGTGTGACATTTTTTTCTTTTACATGCTGAGAGCTGATTGGCATTTAAAATGCATGGTTGCTAACATGGTAGAACGTCATTACACTAGATGGTATAATCGATGAAATATTCAAAACTTCTCACACAAAACACTGCCAAATGGATGAGGAACCCATGTGACAAGTATTGTGTTCATAAGCCTATCTGGAACCAAAGAAAAAAAAATTGGTCTGAACCCAAAATGGGGATATTCTGACTAGAATGGTTCCTCGCAGTAGGGAAAGACCAACATGTAAGTCCAAGTCGTTTAATCTCTTAATTGTTTACCCCATTTCACTTGGTGCCAGGAACGCAATAGAGGACCTAATCCAAGGTGTGTTGAGGAGAGGTAGCTAGGTCAAAGGATTTAGAGCAATGATCCTCTCAGAAGGGCTTCTGGCACTTGGGACGGTAATCAATGTTACGCCGGCAAACAGGGAGGATAATCAGTGTTACTCCACACCGCCTCTCAGACTCAGGTACGAGGTGCTCAACACAAAATAAACCACAATCTCACCACACAGCTGGAGCTGCAGCTGTTCACTATGATTCTATGTCCATCAGAAAAAACATGATAAAAATAAATCAAAAACATGAACAAAACCCAAACAAATACACATCAAACAAAAATGAAACTCAGTGAACGTTGTCTTCAAATCCAACTGCGTTTTGCTCCAAAGATGAATAGTACTCTCCTGAGCATTATCAATACGTGTCTTAGACAGCTCTGAATAGACTATGTCCATAAATGACATATTTGACACATCTATTGGGGATGAGACAGTGAGTGAGGGGGTTTCCATTGGTAGAGAGACCATCTTTTTTGCAGCTGTCAGGAGAAGTCATTGAGGAGCACAATGGATGGGGCAAACTGTAGCTTGCCATCTCCAAAAAGGGCAAAACTCCTGGATATTTCCACACCATGCAAAAAAAGGTACCCACCGAGTTTGGATGGTATAGATTACAATTTGTATTAGTTTTACAGTCATTTTGATTGGCCTGATCTCATTGCACAAGACTATAGATCCATTATTGCAGCAATTAAATTATATTATTATGTTACATTTTCAAAATAATCAAATCTCAAAAGACCTGTTACAAAGAAAGTGGAAGTATTAAATGAAATCCAAAAAATGTTTTATTTGAAATTCAAATTCAGCCTAAACACAATATTTTGCAAACTTTATCATCTAAATAAACAGGGAATGCCAACGGAATAGATTGATATTTGACATACAACTTGCACTATAACTGTTAATGCCTAATGTTGGTATTTTAAGACGCTGGGCTGAACTGAGATGTATTCACCATATATTTATATATTTCAATGTCCAAGAGAATTAAGCAGTCGTCTGTAAAGCAATCTCTGAATAATCAGCTAGTTTAAAAGAAGAAAGAAGAAAAATGCAACCATGTCTTTTCAAAGCTTATACCAGAACTTGATGGACTGTCATTGGTTCTAGGAGAGTAAACACAGAACATATTTGTTTGTTTTTCTCTGTATTATTTACAAATTGTGTTTAAATTAACCTATGCTCTCATAACGTGTCTCAGACAGCAGTTACATCTACATTAGTGTCAATCATCATTCTTAAGCAACTGTAAATGGCGCCATAGAAAATCTGTAATTTTGGTCATTGTGTGAAGGATTGAAATGTAATAATTTACTATGTAAAGACTTAATGTGGGTTTTGTTGAGAGCAGTGGGAAATCAGCCTTACAGCCGTAAGGAGTCACATGGGTAATATTCATACCAATCATTGTGCTGCTGTTCTGTCATTCTTTCACTTCCTTAGAGACGTGCAAAGGCCCAATTAGCTGTTAATTATGATACAGCAACAAAAGGTTTTCTCACTGAAGAGTCTATTCAGTTATTCCATAGAGGACCTGGGTTCATTGTGGAAATGTTTGACCCTCATCTTAAGGACTGAAAAATTATATTTGTTCAGTGGAGTAGGGGCATCTTCAATTAATACAAACAATTGACAGTCAAGGCAAGTTCAAATGTTGACTTTAACATGATACATATCTGAAATGTACCAAAAATGAACCTGTTAAAATGATGGCTGTACACAACATTAAACTGCTTTGCAGTAATGACTGACACACTGTGTCTGTTTGTGAATACGACATTCTCAAATGCTGTCGTAACTACCTGTTTATGAATGCTTCAACCACAACACCTTTGAAAAGAGCTGCGCTTGATTTATGGCACAGCTCGTGGTGTCACTCTGAAGGCAATTACAAGCTATGAATGGTTATTATATGCAGGCACTGTCTGTGAGGCTGGCACTCTGCCAAATGCTGCAAGAGAAGCGATGCTCTTGAAAGAGTATCATCAGTTATGCTTCCGAGTACTTCTGTGGGGAGCATTATTTATGTGTGTGAGGAAGTGCTTTGGTTTGTGTGGTTTAAGTGAATTAAAAATATGTGTTTGTTTAAGAACTGTGGAGCCTGTAGACTGCAGGCGATACAATAATCGCTGTGTCCAAATGTCTTAACGAGTGAAGCACGAGTTTGTGCGATAAGATATTCTGTTTACCTTATATTCTCCTGCTCCATCCAGTTCACATCCAAACATAGCATCTCTCATTCAAACTTCAATTTTCCTTTTGCACTGATTCAAAGTGCAATTTCCGAACATTCACATCCTCATGACCTCCTGATGGTAATAACTAAAGCATGTTGATCTCCTGTTGAATATGGCCACATTGTCGCTCCCAAGAGCTGGACAGCAAGACACTTTCTTCACACATCCTTAGGGTTAGTTTAGTCTATTTCAAGCACACAATGAAAAAGTTTACTTCATGTACACTAACAATAACAAACCAAAAAAACAGTGGTCATAAGAACACTGTCAGTAGAACAAAGAATATTCATTGTTACATAAAAAGGAGTGAGATGAAGTTGACCATTTCCGGGGTCAGAAATAATCTCTGCCAGATCTTTCCCGACAAAGACAGAATTAAAGGTATTTTCAACCTCTGCCATATTTTAATTATTTAATTATATCATCATATCAAAATACTTAGGATAGCTTAACTGGCCAGAAGATTTCTTTTTTACATTATTACAACTTTTCCAAATTTCCCTTACATCAGATTTAGTATTTTCAATCAATTGTAGTATTCCCTCTTAGCTTTGCTCAAGATATTAGTCCATTTGTTTTTATTCCTCTTGTACTGATTTTCTTCTTCTTTAGAAACAGCCTCATTCAGCCTATTGTTGTTTTAAATAATTGCTTACTTTATCTCCCATTTCTTAAAATGTTTGCACTTAGAACCATTTGAAGATCAATTATACCATTTAAAGCAGATTTTTAGCTGGATTATCACTTAAGATCAGGAGTGTAGGAGTCGAGGGCACAGTGCACACTTGTGCTATTCCCAGATTCCTAATAAAGCAGAATTATGTTGAAGTGCTTTCAACACACCGTAAACCCATGCTAAAGAATTATGCAAATGACTTCACACTAGGATAAACCAGATTTTCTATAACAATCTCAAAGGGAAAATGTGATGATTCTTCCTTGTTATATATCTCACATTGTGGGATAAAAGCAGACAAACACCTCATCTATCTGAGAAAGTTTAAGAGGTGTTAACGTGAAGGGAAAGAGGGAAATGTGTCTTTCTGACAGGTGTCAGTAGGCTGTCCAAACGCTATTCTTATCCAGACACAACAGCCAGGACAGCTGAAGTTTGTGCCATGCCTGTAAACACAAGCTCTTACAATAAGCTGTTGCCGTTGCCCTCTCTCTTATCTACATATGTTTTGTCCTTTTCCCACAGAGTCTCTGGAGCCTACCTATCAGCAGCTGCAAAAAATGAAGCTGGACAAGAGTCCTTTTGTGGTGGTGTCAGTGATCGGCCAGGAGCTGCTGACCGCGAGCCACCACACTGCCTCTGTTGTGGTGCTGGAAGCCGCTCTGAAGATTGGCACGTGCAGTCTCAAGCTCCGGGGGTCGGTCTTCTCAGCCCTCAGCAGTGCTCACTGGTCCCTGGGCAACACAGAGAAGAGCACTGGATACATGCAGCAAGACCTGGAAGTGGCCAAGACTTTAGGTGATCAGACGGACACAACATGTTCCACACAGTTTTCAAGTTATAACAGTTCATTTGAATATTAATTGTCGAAAATTACACATTTTGAGAATACATTTGAAGAAGCTGCACATAAATAATATCCCCATAATCTAAAACCAAAAGAAAAGTTGGACGAAAAATGTATTTTCTGTATTTTCTCTCCTATGTGAGATAAATAAAGCAAATCTTATCTTATATTATTTCTGTAGTAGAAGGATAACCTTGAGTTTAATTTAATACACAATTCAAAAATATTTTTAAGTACATTTTTCATTAAGCCAAAACCCGAAGTATGAGAAGAGGTGGCATGTTCAATGAATGAGATTTACTTGAGGTTTCCAGTGACATAATTTTATTTTCATCAGTTGCTTACAGTATCATTATTCACTGTTTTCAGCCCAGCAAATATGCAGAAAGATGTGTGATATTTGTGATGGGATTATTTTTGGTTATATCTATACTGTAACTAGCTATACTAACTATAAAACTAAACTAGTAAATAAGAGTGTGGCCATGCAGCACTCCACTTGCCCACTCACAGTTTGACACATGACTAGCTCCCACAGCTGGAGCGCTGTGGTTCTCAGGTGAAGCTCAGAGTCGAGCGTTACTTTGGCCCTGTCTGTGGGGCCTCTGTCAGGCAGAAATAATAAGGCTTTCCCCTCTCACACCCCGGAGCATTGAGATCAACACTAGCAGCTGTCAGGAAAGCTGCTCCGCTGTGGAGAACTTTTAACTGCCACTTTCCCATTTAAGGCAGTTGTGTCATTGGGGTTAGCTTAGCTGTAGCTCCTGTAATGATGAGAAATATAAAAACCATGCTGTTGTATATGAATCTTTTGTGAGAACGTTTTGGTTTTCATTTGCAGGTGACCAAACAGGGGAATGCCGCGCTCACGGAAATCTGGGATCGGCATTCTTCTCCAAGGGAAACTACAGAGAAGCACTTACCAACCACCGCAACCAGCTGGTCCTGGCCATGAAGCTCAAGGACAGAGAGGTAAGAGGCGCGCATGTGGTGGGGGAGGTCAGACCACATCTGCGAAAGGGAGAGAGCTGCCTAACTGTCATCGCTGAGCACTATAAACCTGGGTTATACACTTTTTCAAACTCTTTTATCCAACTGTGCAGGCTGGGCTGTGCTGTGTGTTTATGGGGTCAATGACGACAGAGTCTTAAGCACAAAAGGTTGCAGCTGTTTTCTCAAGTACTAGAATATAATATGTGGTTTGTGTCATAAACATGATCACAGTGAACTCCATTTTAGTAATATGGGCACTAGACTATGCAAGGGATTTTTAAAAAGATTTTGGTTCTCATTTTATATAGATTTTTATTTGTATTATTATTATGTGAGATGTGTTTTAATATTTTTGGGATGCTTATAGGTCGCAAAAAAAAATTGCTATTCTAAAAACTTTAAATTTGTGTGCACCCTATCACTATTCACTAGGTTCCTGATCAATATATAGTTTTATATTATGGATAGTAAGTAAGTGGGTAAGTAATCTTTATTTATATACCGCCTTTCACAGGCCATAGTCACAAAGCAGTTTACAATTGTGGGCATTTGTCTCTCACTCCACACAGAGATGGGAGCAGGGTCGCCAGTACAGGAGGCGCATGCCAGACCTATTGTACATGTTTATAGTGGTAGGGGAAACCGGAGCACCCGGAGGAAACCTAGATGGTGTCAAACCTCCATCCTTTTGTGACTGGTTTCATGCTCCCCCTGTTTCTTATTATATATATATATATATTATATACTTCTCTCAGCTCAAAGGGGTTCTCTTGGAGGGCTTCCATGAGCTAAGATGATCAAGACTGTAAGGTGTCACCCTCACTTCGATAGTGGGGCAATGGCATTTTTTGACACTGCCATCTTTGACCTGATGGCACGCATCCACAGCTAAGGAGAGCAACCTTAAGACTCGGAGAAATACAGTTGAGGATCTTTTTGTGATAGAAAAAGTAAATCAAGTTTTTAAACAATAGAAAAAACAAACCAAAAATAGTTTCATAGCATCAAAATGATTCCATTGTGTATTGGTGTTTATTATGCGTCCCATTTCTCCGTCACACACTGTTTTCCTTTTCTTCCTTTCTCTTGTCCGGGATGACCTCTGTGGTCATTGTTGTGGTTGACAGGTGCTTGTTCCAACACAATTCCCGTCACAGTTGTTGAGAAGAATGGCTTGCGTTTCCTCTTCTCTTCTTATCCCCTGCGCCAGGCCGCCAGGGATGCTTGTTTGTGTTCCCTGATATTGAGGGACATTTAAACAGCCCAGTCAAACGTGCTACACTGTGCCAGGATCAAACTCTCTGCTGAAGAATGAGACTGAAGGACCTCTTGACACGTCCCATTCCCTGCTGTTTTAGGTAACCGTGTCTGTACTATCACTGCTACCAGAAACTACACATGTTTCTCACTCACAAATGCCGTCTGTAGAAGTGCTCAGCGTAGAGTTAAAGCTTCATGCTGCAGATGCGCTATTGTTGACACATAAATAAATGATTGACCTCTCGTACTCTCAGATTGTCTGTGGGCCCCCCGTGGAGTTCATAGCATCAAACAATGATGGTGCTGATTGGCTGTTGAAAGTCCTCCCTGGCCTTAGTCTTCTTGAGTCCTTTTCTGGCCCCTAATCAGAGTCATATGTATGTCACACCACCTGGTCCGCTTCAGAACATGTCGGAGCCTGGTGGAGAGCTCATTACCCCGACCCGATGTTTTTCTTTCTGATGTGGACTCTTTATCTGGACTTTCTGAAGCTGAGGTCACTTCCTAGAGGCCGGGGACAGGATGTTGCTTCTGACTGGATTTCCACTGTGTATAAAGTCTAGAGAGGAAGCAAGTTTAAACACACAAAGTGGCGGTAATCCTGAGAGACAGAGCAACATACTGTAGATGACCTAAAATCGTGAGTCACATACTATACATCATTTAATTCTAAAAAAACAATGCAATTCGTATGACTTAATACAGGAGTGAGTTGTGTGATGCTCTTCCAGTGTGAGTAACTTGACCATATGTGTTGCCTTATTTTCTGTTTGCAACATTGCCACATTTGGCTAACTGTTACTGCAGCTTGGATCTTTTCCTGGTTGTTCCTGACATCATAGCTATCAGTTCAAAACTCACAAATAATTGCTGACATCTGGCTAGGTTTACATCACATGATTGAGGTCAAATGGGGCTGGATTTGCAAGAACCCAGACTCTCAAGAGTGGGTTAGGCGAGATCAAATAGTGAAACATTTTACAGCGGCTAAACATAATATTTTGGCCCCCTGATTATTATTTTTGTCAGTGCTGCTGGGTGGGAAATCGCAGTTGAGAAAGACAAAAAGCAGATCTCAGAGGAGTGTTGACAATAAATCAGGAGGTAATGCAGTACCTGCTGTGGTGATATCAGAAAGAGATTGAGGATTGGGATTTCTCATCTGCTACCATGCACCTCTTTGACTGCTGCCCATTAAACCACGGGACATTCCTTCCAAAGGCTACATTCATAAATAAAGGAAAAGGGATCTTAGTGGGAAAGAGCAGTGAGCTGGGAAAAGCCCAGAGGAGCGGGTGCTTTGTCATCCACCACTGCAACTTTTAGCTGCGGTCCATTCCGGTGAGGTCATGTGCTGTACCGTCAAGTTAGTGTTTTTCTTTCACTCCGTGCCGTTTGGAAATATCCTTAGCAGACTTTAAGCTGTCATATGTTCAGAACAAACACACTCCTTCGTCTTTGAGTCTCTGTATCGTCTCCAACTTTTGTGTTTGTCCCAGTTTTTCACACTCGTATCAAAACCCTGCCAGTAGCCAATTCCAACAAAGGCGTTTTTTATTGAGCTCCAAAAGCTGTTAAACTATCTCTTTCTAAAGTTCCCCATCCCATCCTTCTGTCTGCATGTGATGTTTTGGGCTTAAATGCTAGGTTGAAATTGAAGGAGGTAACCCTTAATTTGGGGTGTGAGTATTTAGGAGAAACTGAGGCGGGCTGGCAGCAGTATAGCCTGTAATTATGTCTTGTGCGATGTTAAAAAGAGTCTTTGCTGCTATCGCCCCCAACCCTACGCAAATCTGGATATCACATACTATTCAATGTTTTTAGGCACTTTTGCTTTGCAGTTGTTTTTCACGCTTCGCACATCCTGCTGTTTGTTTATCTATTCTCTTCTTAACTCAGAAAATAACTGACAGAAACTTTCCCCCCAGTTTTTGAAATCGTTTCGGGGCTATTTCATCATTGATGTTTATACTTAGTATAGGGTGCGCACTGCAGCTTTTGGGTCCTGGTTTGTATAATGAAGAAAAGTGAGGAGAAATGAGCTTCTAAATCAGGGGTGAGAATAGGGGCTGTGTGGGTGTTCCCGCTGTCAGGATTATGCTTTGTCGATAGTTGTCATCAACCCAGTAAAAGAAAAGAGGCTATTAAGGACTCATTAGGTTACTCTGTCCCAGCTAATAAACCATGGTAGAGGTGGAGTTTGGGTCACTGCTTTTTTTACACAGCCTCTGCTGTGCAGGGAATTAATCAGATACATCATTATTTTTATTTTATTTTATTACAGTACTGAATCCCTTACTGTGTATCTTGAGTTTGGTTATATTTTTCTAAGCAGACATTATTGCCCAATCAGCCTTTTTATGAATTTGAAATGACTTGAGTTGTTATTCCAAGCAATCAATCAGTAAGTACTGTACATGCACCAGTAACTGCATATGGTCCCTTTAACAAAAAGAAAACTTTTATCACACGAATCAGGAGCAAAAACCTGTATAGTATTTTTTTGTTTATTACCAAACTGCAGTGCATTTCTGACCTGCCCCTGCAGCGATGCCCTGACTTAATCCACATCTTAAAACCATGATTATGATGCCATGGCTCTACACATTATGAATTTCGACCAAAACGCAGTTATATTACTCTACTGAGTTTTATTCACTCCACCAACAGTATGAGCTTTAACAAGTTTCTTCACAAAACAGCGCAGACCGCACTGTCAAATCAAGTCAATCAACCAATCAATCAAGTCGCAGCCAAAGCACCGTCACAGAAACATTTATTAAAATATTTTTTTACAATAATATTAACTTAACAAAATAAAGAAAGCTGCAAAAGTCACTAACAAAAATCACTCAATAAGCGTTAATTTGCTCCATTTCTTCCACCATGGGCTCATGCGCCATTATATATCATTTCAGCATCATTTCAGAAAAATAAAAGGCTATAATAAAAGGTATAATACAAAGTTGTATTAATCCACATAGCGATGAGCTTGAACAAGTCTGTTCAAACAGTGCATCATCACAGACAAACCAGCAGTGTCAAAGGAACATGTTTGACGCACACACAGACACATACAAATATAATAAAACATAAAATGCCTTGTACTCACTCAGATCAAGATTATTTGAACACAAAATCCATCCTTCTTTCTTTCCTCAAGAACACTTCAATGACTCTGTCATACAGTCTATCTTTGCGTTTCAGTTCCAGCAATAAGTCCGGTCCTTTTCTATTGACATGGAGGCCAACGCTGAAAGCCGAGTCTGTCCAGTAGCATTTCTGGAATACGATTTGATTCGCTTTAAAGCCGAGAATGACCGCTCGACAGAAGCAGTGGACACAGGGATGGTCACTGCCACACACGCCAATGTGTAAAGCTGTGGCATGTCCTCGCTCAGGCGTTTCTCCTTAAGGAAATCGAGCAGATCAAATGGACTTTTCCCTCGAAAATGTGTCATTTCAGTCAGTTCTGTTTTTAGCTTGGTCAGATCGAACAGTGTTCCATGACTGTCTGTCAAACTGAAGAATGCTGTTTTCGGGAATTTCCTCCTGTAGGCCTGAAAGTGCTGGGGGTCCAGGAGGGAGAGGAACATTCATTTTTGTGGTCTTGAAACCTGTTTTGTATCTGGGAAAGAAGGTTATCCAGAATATTGCCGTGGAGCTTTTGGTAGTGTGTGCAAGGGTCCGCTGCGTATGGGCCTCTGCGTGCGCTGGGG